CATCTAATTGAGTATTTTGTCCCAATTTGAAGAGGAACAAAATGATTCGTTTACGCTGCACATACCACCAGCAGGTACCAACAATTTAAAATAAACTCCGCTGATTAAAGTATAGGTTGAATAGTTTTATGATCCTAATTAATTTAAGATCCCCTTGTTTTTCCCCCCCAAATCCACACCACAGCTTGTTGCTTTATTAAACAAGCGCATTATTTTGTTAAAATTGAAAATATTCAGAATTTTAAAGTATACATCCGATTGAATAGAAAGCAGGGGATAGGGTCAAAGGTCAACTCTTATTGGGCCTCTATTGAGTGGAATTTCCATGTTTTTGTTATGCTGCTTGCTTCTAAGTTCCAAAGTTTCAAGCAACAGCATTTAAGACTTATATACCGCTTCATATTGCTTTATAGGACTCTCGGTTTATAATGCCAGCGTATCGCCTCTCAACAATCTGGGTCCTCATTTTACCCACCTCGGGAGGAGGGAAGGTTGAGTCAACCTTGAACCGGTCAGGATTGAACTCCTGGCTGGGGACAGAGTTAGTCCGCAATTCGGCATTCTAACCACTGTGTCACCAGAGCTCCTACTAAACCTGTCAATTACTGGGAAATCAATCAAGAGCAAGGGAGGATCTTTAGGTTCAAAATGGTGGGGAGTTTCCCCAAGATATCCCAGGGCCCTTTGCAATCTTACCTCCCACAGCACAGATCAAAAATCAAGGTTTAACTGATCCCTCTGAATTTGCTCACCTCTGTATTGAATCTGAGCCCATAGATGCCTTTAATAAATGAAATGAAGAAGTAGAGCAAAACCTGGGATCTTCTCCATCAACAAAAGGCAACTATTTTCTGCTAAGCTTCACCTTACCTGGAGGCATTTGCTGAAACCAACTGGCCAAGCCAGGTGCCTTTCAATCTTTCTGCTAAACTTCTTCCTTTCTACCCAAGACAAAATATGTTGTGTACTGAATGCCTTTGTGGATTTTACTTGAAAGCTGTCTGAGAATGGGATAATAGCTGGCCAAGGACTTCTTCACACAATTCTCAAAGCTCATGATGGAAAAGCCAGACCTACAGGCAACACTCAGTATTCTCCCTTCACCTATATCAAACCACATGAAAGTTGCAAGCCAAAGAAGAGGAGGTCAACCTATTTTTCCAAAGCACCAGAAGGCAGGACAAGAAGCAATGGATGGAAACTAATTAAGGAGAGAAGCAACCTAGAACTAAGGAGACATTTCCTAACAGGGAAGACAATTAACCAACGGAACAGCTTGCCATCAGAAGCTGTGAGTGCTCCAACACTGGAGGTTTTGAAGAGAATGGGCAGCCATTTGTCTGAAGTGGCATAGGGTTTCTTGCTAAAGCAGGGGTTGGACTAGAAGACCTCCAAGGTCCCTTCCAACTCTGATGATGTTCTAAATCAGGGCTGTCAAACTCCCGCGGGCCAGATGCGTCATGTGCTGGCCACGCCCGGTTTAGCAAAGTGGAGAAAAAAGTCGCAATACATCACGTGACACCTCCATGACAACGTGAGTTTGACACTCCTAAGAGTTCTAAATTATAGAATAATACAGCATCCTGGAGAACTTAAGCCTGTAACGTGAAATGTCCCCTTGTTTGAGAATTATGATCCATGTATTGTGAGGGTCGCAGCATTTGTGGAAATAACTTTTGGAGATATGGTAGCTCCCAGCCACTAAGCCAGGGGTCTTCAAACTTGGCAGCTTAAAGACTTGTGGACTTCAACTCCCACAATTCCTCCTCTGGTCCTGTTAGCTCAGGAATTCTGGGAGTTGAAGTCCACAAGTCTTAAACGTGCCAAATTTGAAGAGCCTTGCACTAAACCATTGTAATTTTGTGTTTTTGCTCAACAAAATTGCAGGTCCCGATGAGGGTCTTCATCCCAGCAATATACCTTTTCAAGGCAAGAGACCCTTTTAAAGGTGGCCGGAGAACACATCCAACACGGCTTCAAACAGTGAACTGGGCAAAGTGGAGCAGTTGCACAACTCAGGCTTTCAAAAGCTCATGCACGATGAGGACACTTGTTCCACTTACGCCTCTGTTTCCCATAAATCAATGGCTTCCCACTCCTGCAGCCAGCTGCCAGAAAGGGTTTCGCTGTGAGCTCTCTGGTTTAGTTCCCTATCATCATTCACTTAAGCCCCAGTTGTCCATTCCGATCTGTGACTGTCAAGTCAGTTTCTGAGAGCATGGCAACAGCACAGCCCCACCCAGGAAGCCGAGAGCAAGCAGAGACAAGTTTTCAGAGAGGCACACACTCTCAGGCAATCCCTGGTTTGTTTTTTTTGTTTTTTGGTAACTTATGAAAAGGAGGACTTAAGGAACATGAAAAGAAAAAACGGGGCAACCCAAACACCAGCCAGATCTGCAAGTACCAGCGTCTTCTGCGAAAGGTATTTTGCTTCTGTTTATCCCAGCAAGGGAAAAACACAATTCAGCAGGAATCCAAGTCCATCTGGGACCACCCACACTTCTCCAAGTCAACTAAGATGATTGAAGGCCTGGAGATGAATATATATGAAGAACGCTTGCAGTATTTGGGTGTGGCTAGCCTAGAGAAAAGAAGGACTAGGCGTGACATGACAACAGTATTTCAGTATTTGAGGGGCTGCCACAAAGAGAAGGGGATCAACTTATTTTCCAAAGCACCAGAAGGCAGGACAAGAAACAATGGAGAGAAGAGAAGGAGAGAAGCAACCTAGAACTAAGGAGTCATTTCCTAATACCGAGAGTAATTAATTCACTAGAACAGATTGCCTTCAGAAGCTGTGGATGTTTCATCAATGGAGGTTTTCAAGAAAAGACTGGACAGCCCTTTGTATGAAATAGTATAGGGGGTTGGACTAGACGACCTCCTAGGACCCTTCCAGCTCTATCCTGGTTGAATTGAATCAAAGCGTCAATAAACTGTATAATAAGTTCTGTATCAAGAGTAAAATCTTGCGTCCTTCTCGATGGTTTTCTGTCTCTACCTGGAGGGAAGATTCCCTCAACCAGAAAAGTCACTTTGTGTACAAGTTAGGTAATCTCCCCATCTGATTAATGCTGGAAGGAGAAGCAGAGAGTTTCAGAGAGGGTGGAAAATTCTAGGAGAACTTAGTTGAGGACGATTTTCTCATGACTCAAAAACCTTTCATGTCTCTTTCAGAAAAGCAAATGAACGTTAATATGCATCTAGATGAAGTCAAGTGTATTACAGAATATTCCCCAATTTTTCCTGGGGGCTCAAAAGCAAAGGTGAGGCAAAACCCAATACACAATACCAAGATACACAATTCCATGGTACAAAACAGAAGGTCAAACCCAAAGTACCGTCTACACACTTCGAAAAGGAAGCAGGAAGTCCTTGTTCCAAGTAGGCCTCTTCACCATTAAGGGTGTTTTCAAACAATTTAACAACTTGAGAAGAATTCCAGAGGCCTCCAACAACCCTTAGTGAGGTCACAAACCCTGTAACCCCAGAACCCCTAAAGTCAATAGACTCTGGTGGGGTTTCCACAATACCCAGTTGAGGAACAAACCCACATTTGTGGATTGGCCCAACAGTGAATAAGCTAGCCAATATCTGGATCCATCTAGAGTACTTTCCTACTCTGGGTAACTTATAGATTCAAGGCCATGAGCAAGCCATTCAGCAGGGTCAATCCTGGAGAAGGAGGTGTGGATAGATGGGGCCTGGAGAAGTTCCTCACCTCACCTCACCTCACCTCACCTCACCTCAACCAACCAACCAACCAGCCAGCCAGCCAGCCAGCCAGCCAGCCAGCCAGCCAGCCAGCCAACCAACCAACCAACCAATCCATCCTTTATTGGGGTCAGAAACCAGCGTACAACCAAGAAGAAAATAAAAAAAAAACTTCTAAGCCCAGAAGCATATAAGAAACATTGATTTGGATTACTTCGTATGTATGGGCATATTTTCGTTGCTTATGCAATTTAAAAGACTAGGCCCACATCTTGGTCCATGGTCTCCTCAGGTGGGGCTAGAGGTGTCAACACAAGGCAATATGGCAGCCACAACTACACCAAACTGAAAGGGAGGAGAGAGAGATGGAGGGAGGGGGAGAGAGAGGGGGGAGGGCTTTATTTGTGAGGTTTCAGCCTCCATCTTGACTTTTTTGACTCCCTGGGGAAAAGAACCTTTTCCCAAAGAAGTTGGGGGTTTATACACCACCACCCCAAATCTCATTTCTTTTCTTTTTTTTTTTCATTTTTTCTCATCAAGCCTCTGTGGCCAAAGGCTGGAAATGCATATCACGCTTGAAGCTGGTGTTTTACTATTTATTTATTTTCCAAATTAGTACGTTTCTTCCCCCCCCCCCCCCCCCAGCGGTGGAGGAGTGGCAAAGGCGGGCAGTCTGTCAACCAGATGCCAGATCCCCCGTCCAAACAAAACCCAACAACAACAACCCAACCCAACCCCAGGGGGATCGACCCTCGAAGCCGCTCCTTCGGTCGACCCACCTTCCGCCAAACAGCCTTTTTTCTACCTATTTTTGCAGCGGTGGAGGGGAAAGCTCGGTGGGGACTTTCTGGGCGACCCCTCGTCGCCTTGATTCCCCCTCCCTCACGGCTCGGGGATCGAGCGAGTCCATCAAGCAGAGCTCCGCATTTATTCCCCCCTCCGGGGGGGGGGTTGTTCCTGAACGACTTAAGCCCGGCGCCCGCTTCTTCCCGCACCCCAGCCGCAGCCTTGCAACGACTCTCGCCCCC